TACGGTAGATAACAGACCCCTCCCCCCCCTCCCCCCTGGTCTGGTCCTTAATCCAGTTTGTGGCAGTACGTCCAGAGTTCGGATCCGCGAGCCTTCTCGTAACTCTAACCCCAACCCCAACTTCGTCGCTGCTGCTATACTTTATTCAGAATGTTTGCTTACTTCGAAAAACCTGCATAGACTACTCGCAGTCCTACAATTATTGACCAACTGGAGACAACCGGCAGCAACAAGGCTTCGAAATACAGGTCCGCGTTCATGTGTGGGCGCCTCCGGGGTTGAGCTTTTGTTCAATGAGTACCTCACACACGATTTCCCCCCGAAACTACTTAATTTAATGCATAATCTCATCTGCGGGCCCCTTAAACACATCCATGTAGCGCCACCTTTAGAAGGTTTCCCGCAAAAGATATTGGAGAGGTTCGATGAAAATCCTGGAGCGAAAAAAAATGAACAGTGACAAGTTAGATACATACTTGAAACCGGCTTCTGGGGGTCCTACACCGAGGACCCCAATAAGCCGGTCAGGAGTACACACATTCCCTCAGATGTTTTTTACCGGTCTGGGGCACTTTGTTGCACGCCACTGTCAAACTTGGAAGACCACTCAATATTTCCATTTCCTTCGATCAAAACAAGGCAAACCAACAAGAGGCTCTCTTTGCATATTTTCCAATACAATCCAGAAGAAATTCGACGACCCTTAAATCGCGGCCGTCGAACCACCACCTTTTTTTTGGGCACAACTCGCTTCTACAACAGCAGTCGTTTTCTATATTTCTCTCCTTATCTCTTCGTCGACGCCAATGAGGACACAGGCTCCCCTCGTTGGGGGGAGGCCCAGGTCGCAGTAGTCTTTTCCCACTACTAAGGGCTGGCAGTTCTCTTCGTCGAGATTTAGAGAGGAGAGGGTCTCAGAAGAGAGAGACAAGAGAGAGTGTGCCGCCGAAGGGGCGAGGGAGACCAAGCCCGAGGGTCTAGGATTCCCAAGCTCCACAGGTAGCGCCAAGAGGGACGCATCCATAGTCGGGTCTCTTGCTGATCAACCATCAGTCTGATCCTCCGTTCGGATCGTATCTTGGTCCTACTTTTGTATGTATGTGCAACAACAATGGTTACAGCACTTCTACACCTGTTATCCACATCCTTAGTTACTTTGTTTAAGTGTACAGGGGTTGGAAGTGCGATGCCGCATGAACTCCTAGTTTATATTATGTTGAAGGCTTCTGATTGATTGGCTGAGGCACATTTACTTCAGCCTTGAGACTTTGTGGTTATGGCTCTGATCGAAATTTCGGGCACGACGACGATTTGTTTTCTTACTCATGGGGTTCACTGCTGTGATACCACAGATATATGTTAATTTTGTGCACAAACTTTGTCTGGCAGCAAGCTGTGGTTGAAAAATATTGGGTCTAGTAATTATGTGAACCAACTTGTAATACTTCGCGTTCGCCTGAACCAGCCTGCCAAGGCTTCAAACAAGACAAGAAAGAAGAGACCCACGTAAAAAAATGTACAACCGACGGGTTCCACAAACTAGACGCACTACCTACCCGTGCTTGAACGTTTCTGACTTGCAAAGATGGTAACGTGTTCACACACCGGGTCACGTTACCGGTTGTGTTCGCATCCGCAATTATTTCAACGATACTAGGGAAGGAGCATCGAAACGAAAACGAATCAATTCATTCATGTGTGTGTCCGTGTTATTTGTATGTTCAGCATCGATCGCGCTAACCGGGCCAATTAAAATATGTCAGTGTCACCGCGGTTGAAAATTGAACGTGCTTCTAGAGGCCGTGATCTTGGGCCCCCATGAGAGGGCGGCGTGGGAGAGGCTAGGCTATTCTCCGGGAAAAAGACAGAAAAACAGAAAAACACATGTCAATGTCTACCGACGCCGCTATTTCTCGTGTTCCGTTGTGGCTCCTTCCGCACATTGTTGTGCTGATTCTATCATCCTCCTTGCGATCACCACTCTCTTCGCTAATATTTCAACCACTACTTTTTCGGCAGGCCTCCATTTCTCCCGCGCTTGTTGTGCGGAAGATCAGCTCGGTCGACACTTTTCCTCTCTTCCATACCACCTCTTCCTATTTGGTGTCTGTGTCGCTTCTGCCCGCAGAGTCAAGAAGAGGCTAACATTCTTCGCGTCTGCCAGAACAAGGTCCGTCACCGCAACCTGCCCATGAAGATCGTCGATGCAGAGTACCAGTTCGACATGAACAAGCTCACTCTGTTTTTCGAGGCCGAGAGGTGAGAGTGCCCGCGCCTATGTGCAAAGAGAGAGGGGAGGACAGACGGACAGTTAAATACAGAGGAGGGCAAAGAAGTGTGTGCCGACCCTCGTTATATGGCATCGTTGACACAACGCTTCGCGCTCAGGGCAAAGACAGAATTCGGCCGTCAAACGATAGACGCAACGGTTGAACGGAGACAGCCAGCCGCGATTTTCCACAGTCTTTTTGGATCGCCAGTTGTTCTGGGGTTCGCATAATCGCGTTCGGTTGCGGTGGGTTGGGTTTTTAAGCATAGTGAACACCCAGCCAGTCGGTCACCAAGAGCACTGCTCCACGGCATGTACATTTATTTGTTCTTTCGCCCCCCCCCCCGGAAAAAACAACGGAGTATCGGTCCGTCCCGGCAGCATTGCAGGGATGCGAAATCAATGGTCTAACAGCTACGGCATGTGTTTACATGAGCACACCCCTTCTCCTTCCGCTTTTCTAGTCATCTGGTTGTCGTTCTTCGTGCCGCTTCCGAACTAGTGAAACTCCGACCTACTCCTGACTTTTGGTAAAAGAAATGCCATCATCATCGTCATGTTTCTCCGCTCTCGCTTCTTCTCTCGCGTTTTCCTTTGCTGTCCCTGCCCTCGGTTTCTTAATCTTTTAGGCGCATCGATTTTCGTGAGCTGGTTCGCGACTTGTTCGCTGTTTACAAGGTACGATCGCTACGCTCGTCTTCCGACTACTGGCTGATTTTGTTTGGTCGTTGGTGTCTTCCAGATTTTTTTTTCTGCCGGCCCGCCCCTGCCCGGCTCCAAAAAAAAAGGTGTGCTCATCATTTTTTTCTGCCGTTTTCCCCAATGCTACACGGGGTAGCAGAATTTGCAGGCGAAACATTGTGTAGGATGGCAGACACAAGGGTTCTCAAATACGTCGAGTATCAACATCAAACCCTGCATGCTCCGTCAACGTAGTCCCTTGCTCGTCGGTGCGTGGCGCTTCGTTGTGAATGGTCTGTACCTGACGTTTCAGCCCCTTCTCCTCTCCCCCACCGCCATGAAAACGAATAGCTGCCCCATGAAAACATGTACAGCCGCCGTCCCCCTTGGGCAGTAACTACGGGTCAGCTTGCCAGACAAACTTCACGTGCTAGTAGGTGTTGACTGCCATTCCGTTATCTTTTTGGCCCTGCAAGTCGAAGTAGCAGCAGAAAACATTTTTGTTGACACGGAGCGTGACGACAGTGGCCAACAGATACGATCGTCCAGAAAATGAACGTAGTACCTACATAGCGATGCGTAACAGAATAAAAAAAGGCTCGTTCGTATTTTTCTTCAAGCATAGACCAAGATTTCTACTTGAATCGCACTCAAGAACTGAGAAGAATCCTACCGCAATGCCATGTGTACCGCGGGTGCTCTTCCCGTACGCACGCGAACGCGGCCCGTCTAAATTTGTCCCGCCCCCGCTCCCACCAACGCCGCCGTACCCTCCAGACGAGAATCTGGATGCAGCAGGTCAAGGACAAAGACACGGCTGCTACGCAGCCCACGGCTCCCGCTGCAGCATCTGCTTCCAACAACAGCACTGCTACTCCCACTGCCTGCCCCGAAGACAGCAACGGCAGCGTCCGCGGCTACCAGGGCCGGGAGGCGGCGCCTCAACCCGTCCTCCTCCGCACCGGCGACCCCCCCTCCATGGCCCTTGAACCCGCGCTTGATACGGAACACGACTCCGGCTACGGGAGCGGGAGCAGCAGCAGCGGTGGCAGTGGCATCTCGGAGAGCGATGTCAGCATTTCTCCTCCAGTGTCATGGCCGGCACAGAGAGTCGCTGGCGGCGGCGGCGACGCCGGCAAGGCTGCTAGCGGCAGTGGGCCGGCCGCCAGGGTGGACGCGAAGATGCAGCCGGAGCAGCAGCAGCAGCCGGAGCTGACGTCCATGTACCCAGACCTGTTGCTGGGCTTGGACGAAATCACCATCACGAACAACACCAACGGGCACCGCCACCACGACCACAACTCCAACCACCAGCAGTACCAGCAGCAGCAGCAGCAGCAGCAGGAACCGGCGTCGAAGCCATCCTACACGGACCTGCTCGAGGGCTTCGATGTCGGCGGAATCGCTTTATCTGCGGACGCGAAAAGTCACCAGCACCCCTTGCAGTACGACCAGCACCCGGCCGCATCCTCGCACCCGGACTTTCTTGATGGCTTCGACTTCACGTCCTTCTTCTAAGGGGGCATGGCTGGTATGATCTGACTTGGTTTGGCTTTTCCTTAACTCTCCCTCCCAATCAACAAGGTCGGACTTTGATTGAGAGATGGCCTCGCCGGGGGGAGGGGTAGCGTATCTTCTGGAAAGCAAGCAGAAACGCGAAGAGAGGTTCGGGGCTTGTCCGCTTTGGCATGGTGCCCCGTGCCCCTAGTACGGGGAAGCCCAGCGTTTCTATGTGTGTCTGTGTGGGGACGATGTGCTCCACGTAGAAACTCGTGGAGAACTCATACCGTTTTTTTTCAGTTTTCGTGACGACTTGCTCGGACAGGGTGTATCGTGCGATTTGGAGTGAATCCGACTTGGGGGTTTTGCGTCTTCTGCGTGCAACACCACGAGGTGTCCGATTTTTTGTTTCGCGTGTAAAATGGTCAATTCTCACTCAATTCAATGCCCAGAATACGGAAAGCATGAAAGCCTTCGAAGAGGGCGGGGGGGGGGGGGGAGGAGAAGTCCAGCGGAGCAGAGTATGGCGCCAGTGGCAAAGAGTACCGGCAAGCCAGGCATAGGACATGTGTGCGAATAGGCCGTCTGCGCCTACCATGGTACGCTGTATGAATTCGATTCCAGAAGGTTCGAGATGAAAACCGCACTGTCAACTGCCCACTGAGCCCACAACCCGTCCATAGATGGGAAAGGCAGAATACCATCATGTTTGCACCACCAGGGGGGAGTATTTCAAGGAGGGAGTCTAAAAACGTAAATGGAGGATAGTGGCGTATAGTTTAGAAGAGGCGGGGGAATAACGACGTAACTTGTGTCCGATCCTGGAGATTGACCGTTGCGAGGTTTCTCGTCTACTACCGCCTACGGTAGAGGTGCCTCCGGATGTGACTGGGCGGTGCCGCAAGCCCAGTCTCCGCGTAGTACCCGTTCTTGAAAAATGTTTTTTCGAGAGTGGCGAGCTGTGCTCGTCCCATATATCTGAGAAACCCTACCCTCTCGCAGGGGGAACGGCACGGGCGACGAGCTACTTGGGGGTGTCGTCTACTAGGGCGTTTTTCTGTTAAGCTGGGGTTGTCCACTTAGCGCGGACATTTGTGGCAGTATATTTTTCAACAACGAAACAACGCGATATTTTGTCTCGTATCGATGGACCAGAGTCCGGGATAAGTTCGCGGTGAGTGCATAGTGTACATGACTTGCCTGTTTTGCTTCTTTTGCCGCTCATTTTTCCTCTTGTCTCCTACATACGGGGGGAGGAGAAACACAATAGCGCAGACAGACAGGGAAGATATCTAAGTTGATTATTCCTCCGTTACTCCGTATTCAATTTCGTGCCACGCCTTCTAGAATGTCGACAGAAAGCAGCAGTAGCGTGTATTCGCAGGGCTCGGGTTGTCGAGAATAAAATTTGTTTTTAACTTGTAGGTTGAGTGCTTGAACACCAACCTGTTCACCGCCGATTTTGCCGCGGATAGTTTTTTACCCAGTAATTTGTTTTACTATATATCCCTGTGTGGGTTGATGTTCTCCCTTTCGGCGTACGAAAGGGTGGGGGGGTGGGGAAGGATGTGACTGTTGCCGAAGGAGGCCTCCAGCTGCCCCGATGTTGTTGCAGATTATTTTTCGTTGCCTTTAGTCCGGATTTCTGTCGTTCTTAGAATATAGCAGAGCACAGCAGCGTTGGAGTGGCGACAAACGGCAGTCATCGTACTTAGCAAAGTTTGTCTGGCTGCTACAGGGAAGAAGAGATCGTGCCGCGGGTGTGTCAGTCCTTGTGAGAAAAATACGAGACGCTGACGGGGGGGGGGGGGGGGGGGGTCCTTCACGAAATAGGTCACGTCTCTGCCGAGTGATAGTTATCATTGGAAAGTTGGCTGTTCTCATTCTCCACGTAAATCAGGGTAGGAAGGATGATTTAGTTTATGCAAAGCGGCGCAGGTATACGCGCACCAGAGGTTGCGGCCATCGCTGCTTTGTTCGCGGAATGGTATTAGGCTGGAGGACGGAAGAGAGCCTGATAGCCGAAGCAACTAATATATGCGGGGATGGGGTAGTTTTCGGGGAGAGGGTACGGGATGGTCGTTGTATGCACATGCGTATGGAGAGCTCAGCCTCCAGAAGAGGGGCGGGAAGGGTCCCGTGTGTGTGTAGGAAGTGTAAGTGTATGTGTCTGTGCCTCGGCGGTGTGTCGAAACCTCACAGTTTCCAGCCCGGGCACGGCGTAGCGATCGCCGATGTCGAGCTGGCACGACGAGGCGGCAAGCTCAAAGGCGTTCATAACGCTGAGAGAGAGAGGGTCTAGCAATGGTAGACAAGGCACCCCACATCTATTTCTCTCTCTCGCTCGGTCTCTCTTTCTCTCTCTCTGACGCGCATGGGTTGGGTACGGACTGGTGCGATGTACAGCAACAGCCCTAATCAGGGCGCTTCGAGTTAGGAGTATTATTTTCGACTTTGCGGCGGAATACGAGGGCGGCTTTCCTACAGTACTCGAGAAAGGGAGAGATAGAAAGCGTCCTCCTACCACAATCTACACGCGTACGTACGGTGGCAAGAGAGAGCCTGTATTTGATCCTTCTTGTCTGGTTGAATGTTTTTTGTGATTATCTTTTCGCTTTTTGTGTTTCGGGGCGGGGATATTTCTTGTCTCTTTAATTTCAATAATCGATCAGTATTTATTTCCAAGTAGTAGGTAGGCAAAAGTTCAAACGGGATTGGTTGCGGGTTTAAGTCTGTCCTTCCAGGCAAGGCGAATGAATCAGTCACGACAGAGGTGCACGAGACAGAGATCGTCCGTCTTCCTCTCTCACTCCTTCTCTCGCTTGGAGAGAGAGGGGAAGACAAGTGTTGGTTGGCTGCCCTGGAGGCTAGTAGCGTCGTTCGGTGATGATGTGGTGTCCGTCTTTGTTCACCCAGACAGCAGCTGCAGTAGTAGTGAGATATTCCGCGCGCGGTAGGCGGCCAAGAACACATATGTCTAGAGCATGAGATCCCCCCCGAGAGCGTCTGTTCTAGACATAACTCGTCTAAAGAAACACGCACGCGGTCAATAGGCGCGGGAGGGGCGGGAGGGGGGATACTTCAAAGTTATACATGTTACTGCCTTGTACGCACACACGTGTGTCGACACGTGTGAAGTTTGACCCGTCTGGCCTGTCGGGCAGACCGCTTTTTGTTTCCGGTTGTCCATTTTTTTACTGGCTTTCCCCAACAAGGGGGGGGGGGGGGGGGGGGGGGAGGAATTTAAACTCCCGGGAAAATTTTTTTTTTTTTTTCCTTTTTGTGGGGGCCCCTTTTTTTCCCCCGGGGTTTGGGGGGGCCCCCCCCTTTTAATTTGGGAAATTTTTTTTTTTTTGGGGAAAACCCCCCCCCCCCCTTTTGGTTTTGGGGCCCCCTTTGGGGGGGGGGGAAAGGTTTTTCTTCTTCCCCCCCACCCCAAAAAGGGCCTAAATTTTATTTTAAGGAAAGGAAGGGGGTCCCCCCCCCAAAAAAAAAAAAATGGGGTTTTTCCGATTTTTTTTCCCACCACGGGGTTTTT